TACGATTGTGTATCGACTACCACAAGCTCAACGTGCAAACCGTCAAGAATGCAGGGCCTCTCCCTCGCATTGACGATCTTCTCGAGCGACTGGGCGGTGCGAAGTATTTTTCCAAGTTGGATTTGAAATCAGGATATCATCAAATCTCGATTCAGCCGAACGACCACTACAAAACCGCATTCAAGACGCGGTACGGGCATTTTGAGTGGGTGGTCGTGCCTTTTGGCCTCACCAATGCCCCGGCGACGTTCCAGGCGGCGATGACCAATGAGTTCCGTGCAATGTTGGACCGGTTCGTTCTGGTCTACTTAGACGATATTCTCGTCTACAGCCGGACATTGGACGATCATCTTGGACATCTTCGACGAGTGTTGGAGACGCTCCGCCGTGCCAAGTACAAGGCCAACCGCGACAAGTGCGAATTTGTCCGGCAAGAGCTGGAATACTTGGGCCATTTGGTCACACCGGAGGGCATCAGTCCGCTATCGGACAAGATTCAGGCCGTCCAAGAGTGGCCGGAACCTCGGAACGTCACGGATGTCCGCTCGTTTCTCGGTCTTACCGGCTACTATCAGCGCTTCATCAAAGGCTACTCCAAGATCGCGGCCCACTTGAACAAGCTTCAGTGCGAGGATCGGCCGTTTGACTTTGGCAAGGAGGCGCGGGGATCATTCTTCGCTCTCAAAGTCGCGCTATTGTCTGCGGAGGTCTTGCGAATCTACGACCCGCTCGCGCCTACGCATGTCACTACGGATGCGTCGGGCTATGGCATTGTTGCAGTCCTCGAGCAACATGATGGTGTGGACTGGCACCCGACGGAGTACTTCAGCGAGAAAGTGCCCCTCGTGCATTCCATTGACGATGCACGCAAGAAGGAGCTCCTCGCCTTCGTCCACGCGCTCAAGCGGTGGCAGCACTTCCTCCTTGGTCGAAGTCAATTTCAATGGGTCACGAACAACAATCCGTTGGTCTTCTACAAGACCCAAGATACCGTCAACAGCACCATCGCTCGATGGATGGCTTTCATCGACCAGTTTGACTTCTTTCCCGATCACATCCCCGGGAAGTCGAACCGTTTTGCGGATGCTCTCTCACGGCATCCGGATCATTGTACCGCAGTCTACTCGACGTTCGAGATTGACGACGACCTGCGGAACAGCTTCATCCGCGGTTACCAAGCCGACCCCGATTTTCGCGACAAGTACGTGAATTGCTCCTCTCCTAACCCGGCTCCTTCTCACTACCGGATCCAAGAGGGGTACTTGCTTGTCCACACACGGGGGAAGGACCTTTTTTGCGTACCGAGTGATCCTCACTTGCGTACACGGCTTCTTGGCGAGTTCCACGACGCTCCCGCCACTGGACATTTTGGAGTCAATCGCACGATTGGCCGACTTCGCCAGTGATTTTGGTGGCCCGACCTTCTCGGCGACGTCACGCGCTATTGCGAGTCATGCGAGGTTTGCCGACGCTGCAAATCCTGCAACCACCATCCATACGGCGAGTTACGACCATTCCCAGTCCCGTTGAGGCGAAGGGAAGCGATTTCCATGGACATCACCGGCCCGTTCCCCAAGCACAAGACCAGAGTGGATGGGATTATCACGGTGGTCGACCGACTCACCAAGTTCGCCATGTTTTTGCCTTGTGGCTATCATGCCAAGGCACCGGAGTTGGCCAAGGTTTTGTACGCCGGTTGGATTCGCACCAAGGGTTACCCCAAGGAGATCGTCTGCGACCGCGACACTCGGTTCACGTCCGATTTTTGGTTGGCGCTCATCAAGCGATGGGGCTCATCTCTCAAGCCCAGTTCAGCTCGCCACCCTCAGACCGATGGCCAGACGGAGAGGGCGCATCAGACCGCACAGGTTCTCCTTCGCACTCTCATCCGCCCCGACCAGAAAGACTGGGTTGAGCGACTGCCGGACGTGGAGTTGGCCTACAACTCTTCCATCCACCCGGCTATTGGGATATCGCCCTTCGAGTTCGAGCACGGTTCGCCGGTCACGTCACCGCTGGACACGATTACTCCACGCACGACCGAGAGTGACGACCATCTTCTTTTCTTGCGTCGGATGCAAGAGCTTCTTGTCAAGGCACGCGACCAGATGGCTAAGAC